ATGCATTTGATCAGAGAATTGTTCAGTTTTTTTATCAAATAGAGGAGAAGCAGCTGCTTGGAACAAAATGCAGTTAAAGAAATTACACAGAAAACTTCCTGAGACCAGAAAAACCACTACAACTTAAGTGTAATTTATCACACAGTACTGTACAGCAAGTTTCTCAGTTATTCAGCACCTTATCAGGTGCTTTACATGCAGGAAAGTTCCTAAGGTCTTTGGTAGTTTTCAAGGACCACACAGATAATTTGTTTTTTCTGGATCATGCAGCCTCCATGAATTTTCTCCAAGTTAAAGACCTTGGCATGGTCTTTTTAAATTCCCAGCATTTATCTGTAGGCAAATTTTTGCCTGTTTTATGCTGTATTTAATCATATAGCTTACAGAGGGTTTATGGAGAGTAAGTAACACTGTTGTCTGTCTGCCTTCACTTTGATAAGATAAATAAATGTCAGGTTGCTTCTTTGGTCAAACCAGTTGTTGAATGTTTACTTGTATGTCCCTGAAGATTAGCATCATTGGTAACAGACACTGTAGTTTGTGTAATGTTAAATCTGGTTTAGTGTCAGAATGCAGTGGAAAAGGCAGAAGGCGTCAGTGGCAATAACAGTTCACTTAGGAGATGCCTCACAAACATAGTTTATAGATGGGTTATCACTTTGCGACCTGATAGATTGGTTATCACTTTGCCAACTTGTAGCCACTTGATTATTCAGTAGTGGTCCTACATGAATATTCAATGTATGTTTTGGAGTCTAAAAGCAAACTGCTGTTTTTAAACATGTCAGCCACAAAAAAACTCCCTTTGCACGCACACACAAATCATTCTTAACTCTTGCATGTGTTTTTTTAATGTACAGACTTGTGTGTCTATATGAGCTCTGCTCTATTCAAGGAATACTCTTTGGTCTCTGTTTCTCTGCCATGAGGGGCAAAGAATAGCAGTTTATTATTTGATGAAAGCTGCATGCTTGTCAGAATCATTAAGAAGAACTTACATAAAATAAAAAGCTCCTGATGCTGACCAGAGCTCAGTGCAGTCAGCTATGATATTAAAATGCAAGGACTAGTTTTCATTTGCTCCTTGAATTAGCTTTATGTAGAAGGACTTTTCAAGGGATACATTTTGATTATTAAAATTGCTGACTTAGTTGGCATTGTTCAATCCCGAAGATTGCAGGTATGCAGTAGCTGCATTTCCCAGTGAAACGAATTTGCTTACCTTTTCTTTGTCAGGGTCTTAATTTGGACCCAAGTGTCTTTATTTTAATTGAAAAAAACAATTAGTCTTCTTCATGCAAGTCTACGTGGCTTATCTTCATTTAATAATCAGTTGTGTAATTGGTGTTCAGATACAGTTTAACTGGGAAAATTGCAGCATTTTGCCTATGTGGGGTTATTTGAATACTGAAACTGCAGCTTCCTTTAACGCAATCATTTCCTTGAGGGCACACAAATCCTTGCCTGACCTTTTGAAATAAATTAGCAACAGAATCCAAGGGTTGGTAATTTGATGTAAAGGTTGCAATGAATGCCATCTGTCGGTTATCAGAATGGTTTAATGAAGGCCTCTTACATCAGGAGCTCTCCGATTTCCGGAGGATGCTCTGGGGGCTGCGCTGCAGCCCAGCCTGTACATTCTGGTAAAGCTGGACAATTTGCTTTTCTATGACTTAATGAGAGAATCTATCTGGAAGCTGAAAAATACTGCAGTCTCCAATATTTCTGTGATTTATGAGAGATTACCCTGTGATGGCTTGCTGAACGGTGTTAGAGGATGCTGAACCTGGCAGCCTGATGTAGGCTGATGCAATTGCTCTTCCATGATCGTCCTCGCACCCCTGGCAGTGACCATCCCTCTGTCTGTGGGGTGAAGGGGACCCTCTACTGCTGCCTTGTGGCCATGCGTACCCCCTGTCCCTGAGACTTTATAGGACAGACCGGAGAGAGGGTGTTGACAGCTCCAGGTGAGGTGACTGGGGCTCTCTCCCCTGCCAGTGTGTCCATCTGCTCCTTCTTGTATGCAGGCATTATGCTTTAGTCATACAAGCTAACAAACTGTGTCTGTGTTACTAATGAACCAGACATTTACCACACCTTGGAGGAAAAATCCTCATGCATGGATGTGTGGACCTTCTCTCCACACAGCCTAAGGTATGTGGCTCTGTTTGGTCCTTGAATTACCATTCTGCTTATAGTGTTGGACATGTATGGGGCTAAAAGCTCAAAATCCTGCCTACCTTGGCAGGGATAAGGGCATGGTCATCAAAGACTGGAGAGTCTTCCATGAGCCACAGCCCTCAGTAGAGGTTGAAGAGTTTGTCAGACTTCTCTCTCTCCACACAGTTTGTCAAAGCTAATGCCTCCCCCTTCCTCTACATAAAGTCTAGTAAATAGAGCTGAGTTTCCATCCTTGGAGAAATTCAAAACCCACATGGACATGATCGAGCACTATGCTGTAGGTGACTGCTTTGAAGAGAAGGCTAAACAAGAACTGTCTGCAGAAGTCCCTTCCCACCTCAGCTAGTCTGGGATTCTTCAATATAAAATGGTTTTCCATTTTTGGGGAGGGAATATTCTTTCTTCATATACTAGATACAAGTAGAAATAGAGTACTACCAAAGCAAATGAATTTGTTTATTCTTTGACAAAAGGTGATGACAATGACAGTGTATAAAAAGATTTGACAGAATTTCATTGATATGAAGGGTGGTTCTCTGGACCACCTTCATCTCAGAAAGGGTAAACTGATTTCAGACTGAACTGAGAGAGCTCATCTCAGTGCACCCACTACTTGAGATGATACTCTCCAAACTCCCAGAACAAAAAAGTTAAGATGTGTGCTCTTATTAATTTTCCAAGAAAATGCAATGAATAAAAGTTACGGGTTTTTTCTTATGTCAAAAAAATTGACCCTTTGTGTCAAAATATTTGAAGTTACCCAGTCCTTTTTGTCCTGTTTGCTTTGTACTAGTTCTGAAACTGAAATTCTTTCAACTGAAGTAGAAATCCTTTGTCAGCTTGAAATTGGAGCATCAAACACTGTAATTGTTATTATGTAACTATTTCCATTTTTATTAAAGCATGTCTGAGCCACAGCAACTTTCTATAAGGAGTACATAAATGAGGTTTTGAAACTCAGCTTCAAATATCAGGTTATAAAACTCAGATTTAAAATATAATTTTTTGCTACAAGAATTTGAGACCAGATCTTAAATAAATTTTAGAAGATAGACTAAACCTAGAATATTTCTCTCCTGCTGTTCATGGGAGAACATTTGCTGGTTTGGAAATCCCATTTCTAGAAGAAGTATTTGGAACTAGATGATCCTTAAGGTCTCTTCCAATCCAGGCCATTCTATGATTCTTTGAAAAGAAACACAAAATTGAATTTGCACTTTAAACACTTACAGCAGATTTTCATGGCTCTTCAATAAATGACTAAATAAACTACGAATTATATGTATTTCGGCATATTTGACCAAGACTGCCAATAAACTAAGTCCAAGTTCCTAGAATGAGAGACTGGAATACTAATTTCTAAATTAGCTGCTGTGCTGGAGTCCCTGGGAGAATAAGTACAAATTGGACATCTGTTGAATATACATTACAGCAGTATGTATGGGCTATGCACACTGGACAAGAGCAAGGGAAATCTTGTGAATTTACAGGAAAGTTTTTTTAAAGCTGTTGCACATCTTAAAACCAGCTAGAGGAAGTTTCTGTGTTCTTCCAAACTGGGAAGATGAATGTTTAAAACACCCAATATTTTTAGAAAAAGGTAATGGTGAGTTTCTGAATGACCTTGGGAAATACACACTTTTATAACAGCTGAAGAGATGCAGTGCTGCTTCCCATGTTTCAGATTATAAAAACTTTCACTTATGTGAACACAAACTGATGTTAGCTAGCCATTAGTGGTAGAGGTACATGGCAATGGCAGGTGGGAGGAACTTTATACCATCCTTAAACACTTTGCAACTGCTGACCTCTGTCTACACAGTGTATTCAGTGCATTTCTGAAGGGCAAAAAATATCTCTTCCACCCATTAGGTATGTTCCTGTTCCCTGTACACAAGAGAACTGCTTTCTTTGTTAGAAAACTTGTCTTCTGATTGCCTTAGAAAAAGAAAAAGGAAAGAATATGTATTAATTTTTTTCTCTGAGTAACGAGGACCAAACCACAGGTGACAAATATGCTGAATGGCTGATTCTTTCAGGTTGGTGGCATTGCCATATAGAAAAAGGTGCTCATGCATAAGGACAGGCTCCAACCTGGGTATCCAGATGGCTGTATTCCCTTATCAGACAGGGTTTCCAGCCAGTGAAGAATTAATTTGGCAAAAATTTTATATCCTTTTTCAGTTCAAGACCCAGTGAAGGTCTATGGCAGCTTCAGCTTAACACAAGAACCTGAAATTGAAAATTAGTTACCAAAGCTGTGAAAGTTATGTTCCAGATGCAACACAGCAAAATCTGCTTCTGGTAAAGCTGAGGGAAAGCCCACACTAACAAGCACAGCTCAATTTTGGCCACCTGGAGAGGTTTTAGGTTCCTCCAGCTGCCCTGAACACATTGGATGCTTAGCTCTACCCTTGTGTAGGTGGGGTGAAGATCCTCTGCACCAGGTTCCTTTGCCAGTAAGGAGCAGCTACAGTAAGACAAGTGAGGACATCTATCCTGCAGCCCAGCCAAGTCTGCGGGGGCTGGAGAGCAGCACCAAAAATGGGTGTGCACCCTAATCCGGTTACAAGAAATGCTGTGCTGCTGTCATACTGCTGCTGCTTCACAAGGAAGCTGCCAGCTCTGCCAGCTCAGGGGCTCAAACTTGATTATCCCAAAATTGCACTTTGGTCCTTCCCTGATGCTCCTGGGAATGACTACTAAAATTCAAAAGGAAATCTTGTGAGTAAGGATGGTGTCATGTTGTGGAAATGTCTTTCAGTAAATCACAGGTTTTGATTCATCTGAATTATGAAAAATCACTCAGAGTATTTTCTTTCAAAAGCAGTATTTATTTTTTTCATCAAGATAAGACACATTACATACTGCATAAAGTAAAAAGTACTGCTAGGAAAGCTGCATTTAACTGAGATAACAAAAAAAAAAATACATAGATTGCACTTGAGAAAGTAGGATCCTTCCCAGAAGAATATAGTAAATAAAAAGCTAACAAGTGGTTTGAAATTAGGATTCTTTCTGAATTGCCTTTGAAAATATATTTATTTTGGAGAGTTCCAATTCCACCAACAAAACTGAACCAGATTAGGTTTCTTAACAGCTTTGCTCTTTAGGTTAAAATAGGATGTAAACAACATAATTATTACATGGACAAAAGAAGGGGAAAAAGTATGGAGAAGCACCTCTGCAATTTCTGCTAATAAATAAAAAGAAAAAAATTGCTGGTATCTGGTTTCACCAGGGTCACTGAAGCTCAGGGCTAGGTTCTGTGGATTTTTTCTTAGTTCACATGTATGTTATCAAACCTACGCTGCAAAACAAAGCCCATCCTTGACCCTCCTGCAGTGGTTGGGAGCACACTGTCTGTATGGCAGCTTGAAGCAGTGAATGGTTCCATTCATTACTAAGTGTCCCAGGAGTAATACTTTAAATTTTGCGACAAGCTTAGCCTATATCTGAGAAAGTAAACCCATCATTAAGTAGGAGGATTTTTTTACCTTTATCTGAATTTTTCTGCTGGACTCTGGCATCTACTGATGCCTTTATCTAATTCACTTAGCTGAACTATCAGCTGTTCAGTCTTTAAAAAGAAATTCCTTTTAAAAGGAATTTTCATAGTATCTACCTCTGTGTATCACTTACGTCCAAATCAGATTTCTAACCTTTCTATACAACCAAAAGAGAAAGAAAAGCTCCACACTGGGCTATTTCAACCTTGGGGCTAAGGCACACTATGGGAGAGCTTCTCCCAAATGCCTGTAGGGGTAACTCAGGCTCCCAGACGTGGCTGGATCCCCCAGATTAGGAGGCATAAACACCCCTCGCAACACGTGGCTGTTGGGGTGGGACTGGGCGAGCAGGCAGTGGTGTGTGGGACACGCCTGGCGCAGTGGGTGCTGCTGCACAGCTTTCCCTTGGGGGGTGTGAATTAAGGACCACTCAGAGCACAAAGCCTCGTGAAACTGATGTTTCCTACAACCAATGCTAACTAGGAAGTAAGGCATAATTCAGTCAGAGATATACATTGGAGTGCAACTATCTCAAAAACAATCCGTACTGCCAAGGTCTCGCATGCAAATTTCTTCCAAACTTAGCTAAAAATTATGGAAGGGCCAGGTCAATCTTGTTATTAAGCCAGAGACAGAAAAAGAATTAGATGTTCTTTAAATAGCCCTGAACTACAAAATAAAGCTGGTAATCTTTGGTTACAGGACTTTTCTTTTAATGTGAATTGCTTTGAAAAATGATGAATCACTTCCCAAGTAAGCATTCAGGACCATTTTTAAATAGACATCTGGGAGCCAGAGAGGAAAAATTAATATAAATAACAAACCCCCAAACTTTCTGAATCTCAAAGGCTAAAGTACAAGAAAGAAAGTAACACAACACTTCTAAGGGATCTTTCAGCAAAGTTTTGCTAAAATTATAAAAAATCACTTAAAAAATACTTGAGCTGATGAAGAGGGCAAGTCAGAACATTAGAGCGCTTTTGTAACGAATCTGTTGAGTGTTAAAACATACTGGTTTGAAAGCCTTATATTATATTATTTTATAGCACATGCCAGTTTCCACTAATTATAACTCACTACTGTCAAACTACTTCACTCTTTCAGTGAGACAGAAAGATGAGACAACATGGATGATTTGATGCAGCCTATGTCTACTATTAAATATAAACCCTCAGCCATTAAACGTGCCACCCTATTCACTCCATTACATTCGTGATCAAAACTCCAATTCTTCACCAGACCTAAATCTGCCTGTGTTTTTGCACTTTTGGAGCAGCATTTAAAAATCCTTAAAGCTAGTTTAGAAGGATTTTTTTTTTCCTTTTTCAGTTAGAGCACTTTCATAATATTTTAAAAACCATAGGAAGTTATGCTGCAGCTTTTAAAGTGCTAATTTTATTATGAGGTGCTGTTTAATAGTACTCTTCTGGAAATTAACAAATTATGCACATTTTCCATGACAGACAGACGTTGCTTAATGAGTTAATGTGCTTCAGAAGAATGCAGTCAAAAAGAAATTCACTGTCAACAGTTTAACCATGGCAATACACAGAGCTGGAATGAGACAACTAACCTCAGATAACTAAGATTAATGCATTTATGACAAAGTTATAATAATCCATATTTCAAACAAACAAACAAACAAACCCCAAACCAAATAATGATAATTAAATCTCAAACACAGTTTTGTTTCCCAGTAACACAACTGCAAAACAAATCAATATTTTCAACAAACAAGTGCCCTATCTTCGCCTCCTTCATGGGAAAATATGGCACTCCTTGAGCTGCTGTGAAGAGGATACAAGGGGAGGGGCTGTCTCTCCCTTTTTGTTTAGAGGGGACTCCTCCTGGGCAACTGTGGGCCAAACTGGGCAAGGGGCAGGAGTCCAGACTAGGTAAGTAGTGACCAGAATCAGTCCCAGCCTAGAGGGATTCATCTGGGGACTGGGTGGGAGCCCCCTCTTGCAGAAGCACCTGGGCAATGGCTCCCATGGAGTAACCAAGGGAAAAGTATCAGCCTCTGCACCCCTCTCCCATGATCAGTGTCCTGGCTTATGCAAAGCATCTACTAATTTCAGCACATGATTTGCTCGAGTACAAACAGTGAGATTTGACTTTACTGGTGTGTTATTTCCTGTAGTGATGGATTTTCTGCATTCTGTCTCACTCTGTTGGGCCAGAATGCTGGGAAGTTCCCTCTGAGAGTGGGGCAAATAATTTTGCACTTATACAGGCTCAAATTCTCTCTTCATTTATACCCACAAACCCCTACTGACTATCAGGAGAGCTGAGGAGGTAGAAATGACAGCAGAATTTGAGTGTAGGAACTGGTGAGTGAGAAACAAACACAAAGCTATTTCATGGCCAGCTACCACAAATACCTATGCACCTGGTGTTTAATTTCAGTGGGCATTGTGTGCGTAAGGACTGCAATTTAGCTTTTAAAATCTCAACCCTCAGACTCTATCTGCAGATAACCATAATATTATATTCTTGGATGCTGATACATAAATCTATGATATACCTGTTTAGTTGCCATGGCACTAATCAGCATAGCTATGCTGAAACACAGAGATCATGTTTGCTAATTGCAAAGGCAGGCTAGTAGCAAATTTCAAATGATAGTGAGTAAAGGTCCTCAGAGCAATCCTGCTTAAAAGTAAACATTCCAGTAAGATGTAATTAGTGTGTCTTGGTTTCTTTTCGTTTCTTTCTTCCTCTCACTTTTTTTAAATTTTTTTTTTGTTTTTATCGGGGTGGTCTTGAACTGCAGATACAATCACAACGGTCATGGTGATCCAGCTGTATATCAACTAAGGCCATGTTGTTCCTGATTCTGCCTTTTCTTCTGGTATGCCCAGCCTCAGGGATGAATTTCAGCACCTGGGAGGATCAACAGAAATGCATTGATTAGAAAACACTGTTGGAGAACTGAGGATGAGAATGTTGGGGCACTGAGGGCACCAACAGTTCTTAATGGCCCTGACCACCATGAATTTGGACACATTTTTGTTTTACTTCCAGATTTTTCTTTGCACTGTTTGACATCTTGCTGTACTGTTTGACCTGGACCTTTGGCAGACTGGATTATTTCCTACATCAGGTATCTTTATACCACGCAGTCTCCTAACTACGTCCACAGTTGCTCCTTTGCATGTGAATTGTCAAGCATATTTCATTTGGCTTGTCTTTGCAGTCCCATACATATTTGAATTGCTCTGCCCCTTCTCTCTCTTGTATAATATTTCTCCTCTAAAGAACAAGTAATGTTTTTTTGTGCAATTTGAAATTTCTGAAGCACATATCATTAGAATTGGCTCAAAAATGAAATACTTGTGGAAGGCAAAAGGAGATGAGGTAGCTTGCACAAAATATGTGCCAGATCCCATCAAATTTCTGTGGAATCTGACTTCTGTGGGCTTACCTTAAAAATCTCTGCCTCAACCTAAATGATTTCTGAAGAATTTACTGCAAATAATCTTAAACAAACAAGTGAAATTATTTCCTAGGTAAGTATACATCATACAAGAGGCTTCTGAAAAAATTCTAGCTAGGCAAGATAGAGACCACTAAGAAATGAGGTTGTACATCATAAAAAAAAGAGAAAAATAAGAAAGAGGTACAAGTTGCAACCAAAAAAATCTCATTTGAGTATAAGGAAGAAAATGCTGAGAGTGCTTAAACATTATAGCAGGTTGTCTAGAGAGGCTGCAGAAACCTGGAAGACAATCAAAATTAACAGAATGAGACCTGAGCAATCTCATCTAGCTTGTAAATTCTCCCTGCTTGTTATGAGAGATTGGGCTAGATGACCCTCACAGATGCCTTCCAACCCATATTATTATATGAACCTATGATTCCCTAAAAATGATCTTGTGCATATGTGCATAAGAGCCATAATGTTGCATCCTATCTAATCTTCTGTGGTGGTGTATGTAAAGGATGGACTGGAAAAGCTGAGGATGGTGGTTTGCAGGGGAATGCTTTGTGAGCCCACCACTGGAGGCTGAGTTGCTGTGTAGGAGATCATACCCACACTAGCATGGGGGCACAGGTTGAGAGGAGAAAATCTGTTTTGTTTCATTGGTTTGCTGTTCATGGCCTACAGTAGTTTAACCAAAAAGATATTAATTTATTATTTCAATCCTGAAGCTTAAATACTAGTTTGGATTAGGCACAATGAATGAGTTAAGATTTAGAACACCTTAAATCTCCTACAGCATTTTTCTTCTCAAATCTCACAGCACATTGCCCAGAAAGATATGCATAATTATCAAACTTGCATAGATGGAGAATCTGAAACTGATTTGCTTGAGGCTCTGAAACACATCAGTAGAAAAACTACCAGTCTTTTAGCATTACCAGGTCTTTTCCATTTTGAAATCACTTACTGATGGGGAGCAGAACATGAAGATAGCCAGGCTACAGCTCCACAGCTGGCAGTAAGTCAGTGGGCAGGCTCTGCTCAGTGTGGCCTCAAGCCTTTTAGTCCAGAAACCATGCACTGGTAAGGTACTAGAGCTAGCATGTCTCACCTTTTGGCAGGCTGATGTGACTCATGCTAGCTTGGCCAAGTGACTGCTAGATCAGCTAGATTTATTTTTCGTGTTCAAAAGATGGAGAGACATCTGTTAAGTGTATGATGTGCCAAAGTCACTGGACAAGTGTGCAGAGGGACCTAGACATCTCTAACACCTCAATCACTGAAACACCCACTCTTCTGCCCTAAATAACAGGTCCCCTAACTAACAGATCATACTGTTACTCAACAACCTTCTTTTTTTTTTTTTTTAATACAGTGTACTTTCTGTACTTTGAGATTGTAACACCATACAAGCATTGAGATGGTTTGGAAAGGACAGAGACTGTATACCAGATTAACAAAGTATTAGTCATTAACAGTATTATATATAAAACAAATTATATATTTTCAACAGAATTAGAAAGTCCCCAAAAGTAAGTGTGAATGACTTGTGAAAGGATAACCACAGATGCTGTGCAGAGTGGTTGGGGAAGGGCAGACAGGTTAGCAACCTTTGGGATGATACCATTCCTTCTCTACCATTAATGTCTTGAGGCTAGAAAAGTCATGGGATATAACGAAAGTGATTAGCACTGAACACAGTCTATTATTTTGTCCTCCCTTTTGTGATAAAATTTATATTTAGCCTATGTAATACTGAGAGGAAGGACTGTGCCTAGGCAAGGTATAGATGTGCTACTTTACTGTGTTGGGAAAATAGAATTACTTTTCCCTCTTAGAAATACAGAGACATGTAATTTTTAATTTTGTTTAAGCAACAAAAATATAGTCTGTTTCAATTGATTCAAACATTGACTGCATCGATATATGCAATAAATCCTGATGGACAGTAGGACAATTTGCTGTACCACACAGTCACCCAAAACACAAAGGAATTGAACCCAATCAGGTTGCTGCAATTATTACAGAGATAAAAGTAGACCACAGCTTCGAAAAAGCTTTTCTAAAGAAAACATACTTTAAAAATTGAGTACAGATGCTGACACTGAACTCATGATAAAATTCCTTATTTAAAGAAGCATTTCAGCAAAATCTGACAAATCCAGATGACTGGCACTTTGCAAGGTCATGGGTAGCTAGACCTGATTTTTCCAATTGAGAGCAAATGAAAGTAGGCAATGGGATGAGAGCAAAGATGTGGACTGTATTTAAGTTAATAGACCATCTGACAGATTGGGGACTTTCTCTGTGTTTTTTATTAAGAAGCATGAGCACAGTATATGGGCTTTGCTGATAAGAAAATGAACTGTCAGACACTTCACCAGACAGGAAAGCAGTGATTGAACACAGCTGAAATTAGAGAATCATAGAATCGTTTAGGTTGGAAGAGACCACTGAGATCATGAGGTCCAACCATTAACCCAGCACTGTCAAGTCAACCACTAAATTGTGTCCCCTAATGCCACATCCACATGCTTTTTGAACACATCCAGGAATGGTGACCACTTCCCTGGGCAGCCTGTTTCAATGTTTGACCATCCTTTCAGTGAAGAAATTTTCCCTAATATCCTATCTAAACCTCCTCTGGTGCAACTTGAGGCCATTTACTCTTGTCCTGTCACTTGTTACCGGTGAGAAGAGACCAATCCCTACCTGGCTACAACCTCCTTTCATGTAGCTGTAGAGAGTGATAAGGTTCCCCCCTGAGCCTCCTTTTCTTCAGGATAAATAACTCCAGCTCCCTCAGCTGCTCCTCATAAGACTTGTGCTCCAGACCCTTCACCAGTGTTACTGCCCTTCTCTGGACTTGCTCCAGTACTTCAATGTCTTTCTTGTAGTGAGGGGCCCAGAATTTAACACAGGATTCAAGATGTGGCCTCACCAGTGCTGAGTACAGGGGGACAATCATTGCCCTGCTCCTGCTGACCACACTACTGCTGATACAGGCCAGGATGTCATTGGCCTTCTTGGCCACCTTGGAACACTGTTGGCTCATGTTCAGCTGCTGTTGACCAACATACCCAGCTCTTTTCCCTCCGGGCAGCTTTCCAGACACTCTGCTCCCAGCCTGTAGCACTGCCTGGGGTTGTTGTGACCTGAGTGCAGGACCTGAGGTTTCCAGCCTGTTTGAGGGTTGCCTTTCCAGGAGGTGTACAGTACCAATTTGGGTCAAGTCTCTGGGGGCAGCAGGGTGCTCTCCAGTGTCCTGTGGAGTACAGGAGGTCAGGGCTGACGGTCCCTATCATTTCGACAGGTCTGTAAGAACACTTCAAGATCAGGGGCTGAGGAGAGCAGAGTGGCGATGACTGCCAGGAAAAGGACCCAGCTGGAGACAACCTGTTCACCCTGACCCATACCTGGCATGTCTCCAGTAGAAGCCACAACAAAGCAGTGACTCCAGAGAATGAATCCTCTAAAACAGCTACCTCTTGTGGGTCTATCTTTGGTAACTAGGAAAGGGGTCCAAAGCTTAGACTCGCAGCTTTAGATGGGCAGGGCCAGATGAGGTGAACCCTCCTTTCAGCATTTGCTGATGGTCCTAACCAGGTATCATTGACCTTTGAAATCAGGCAACATTTAGCCATGACAATCCATGATGGCTGACTTGTGTTGTACTAAAAACCAAAGACTGATAGGAAACACAGTCAACACTTTAAAAAAAGAGGGGGTATCCAGTTCCTCATAGTAATTTTTTACTTAAAATACTTAACTTATTAGGAAAATAGTGATACTCTTTTTTAAATTCTTAACCAGTAGTTTAAACACCAATGGAAACATCAAGCCTGACTCAAAATTCAGGGTTTTTTCTTTCTCCTTAGCTTAAGAAGACCACAGGTATTCAATAACATGACTATGGCTTACCAAATATCTAATTAGCTTCATATTCCAGTGACAGAAGATGGTGAACAACTCTGGACACTATTTTAGATAGCAAAACTTGTACTTTGCAGAACTTATTTTAAAATTCTGCTATGCAGCATTATCTAATCTCCTTCTGCACATCTAAAAATACCATCATTCTAGCATGCAAACCAAATTATATTTGTCTGAGATTCATGAAAGAGGAAGCATCAAAAGTGCAAAACATTCATCACAGATCCAAGTTCTGATAGACATAAAAAATCTTACTCTGCAATTTTTGAAAGTTATCTAATCCAAAGGTCACATACAGTTTAGCTGTGCTTTGAGTATAAGAAACCAAGCATTATGGGAATGTGATTCATAACTTAGCATAAGGACCTTTAGGAGGAACAGAGCCTAAAACAATGACAGACCCAAAGATACATTCTTTCTTACCAGAGATAATTACAGAGTTGGTTTGCTGATCAGTGGTAGCATGCAAACTAAAGGATTATTAAATGTAGATGGGGATTATTACTTCTATTTTTTTTAATTTATA